AATGTCATTCTAAGTGAAGTAAGCCAGAAAGAGAAAGAAAAATACCATATGAGATCACTCATATGTGGAATCTAAAAAACAAAAACAAACAAACAAACAAAAACAAAGCATAAATACAGGACAGAAATAGACTCATAGACAGAGAATACAGACTTGTGGTTACCAGGGGGGTAGAGGGTGGGAAGGGATAGACTGGGATTTCAAAATTGTAGAATAGATAAACAAGATTATACTGTATAGCACAGGGAAATATACACAAAATGTTATGGTAGCTCACAGAGAAAAAAATGTGACAATGAGAGTGTATATGTCCATGAATGACTGAAAAATTGTGCTGAACGCTGGAATTTGACACAACATTGTAAAATGATTATAAATCAATAAAAAATGTTAAAAAAAAAGTAAAGCAACTTAGTATTAGCACAAGGATAGAAAAGTAGAGCAATGGGAAAAGAATAGGGAATCCGGAAGCAGACCCATGCATACACTACACGTGATTTATAATTGAGTTGGCCTTAAAGGGCAAAAGGGTCATCTTTTAAACTTTCTCCTTTTCACATCATGCTCAATCAGTTCCAGATGAATGTGGATCTAAACATAAAAAGCAAAATAATAAAGCTTCTCTAAGATAACAAGGGTTATCTTTATGACTTCGAAGAGGGGGAAGATTTCTAAGACAAAACTCAGTAGCCATGAAGAAAAACACTAGTAAATTCAGCTACATTGAAATTAAGGACAATTTTTTTTGTCAGAACACACCATCAAGAGAATAAAAGGGTAAGCCACAGAACAGCAGAAGTTATCTGCATACATATAACCCAAAAAGCACTCAAGCCTTAGAAATCAAACCCTTATAAGTCAGTAAGTAAAAGGCAGTTATCTCCAGTAAAATAGTAGCAAAAATTGAACAAGCAAATCGGAAGAGAGGCCAATGAACATGTTAAAGGATGTTTATTATCATTAGTGATGAGAAAAAGCAAATTAGACCTGATGAGATAGCTTTACTTATTCACCAGAATGACTTAAATTAAAAAATCTGACAGTACAAAATGGTTATGAGGCTATAGGGTAATGGAACTTTCATATGTTGCTAGTGGGAGTGAAAATTAGTCCAACTATTTTGAAAAGCTCTTTAGCATCTCCTAAAGTTAAAAACATGTATATTCTGTTTGTAGCACACCAAACTAAAAAAATGCAGATGTCCAGCATCAGCAGAATGGATAAAAGAGTATATTCATAGCATATGATGTTCATATTATACAGCAACAAAAAAAGTAACTATAGCTACTCGAAACAGTGTTAATGAATCTTAACAATCATTATGTCTAATGGAAGAAGAGCACAAAAGAGTATATGCTATACGATTACATTTATATGAAGTTCAAAATACGATTAAATGTTTAACAATATCAAGCATAGGTGATTATAAAGAAAAGCAAGAATGTTAGTACTATAAAGGATAGGATAGTGGTGTCTTTAGGAAAGTGGGAAGACATAGTAAATGGGAAGGAATATGAAAGATGTCTGAGTTGCTCACAGTGCTCTATTTCTTGACATGGGTGATAGTTTCATGGATTAGCTGAGCCCTACATTTTTATTTTGTACATGTTTTGCGTGTGTTATTTCACATACACACAAAGAGGCTTAAAATCATTATTATGCAAAGAGGGGAAGACTTAAGAGTTACTAAAATGATAGTTTTTAAGCTTTTTCCGTAGTATACCACATTTAGTACGGTCAACAGAAAGATTTTGACAGTGAAAGATGCTGTATGATAAAGTGACCAAACTTAATTGGAAAGAAGAAAATGCAGTTGTAAAAGGTTATGTAATATACTGATCTTTTTCACCTATAAATGTATTTTGCAGAAAACAAGTGTTCATAGTCGGTTGGGAGTTATTTATAATCCTACATCAAAAATAGATGAAGAGAACACAGCTATTTCTAGAGGAATTCTTGCAGCTTTTCTTACGCAGGAAAAGCGCTTTTTGAGAAAATTTCTCAGGAAACTGACAAAGGAAGAAACTGCTACAGCTATTTACTCTGGAGTTAAAATTAAAACATTCCTTGCTGAGGTAAGTAGCTATTTATTTGAAATACTAAGTATCTGTTACATATTTCAGAAATCAGTGTGCTTGGAGATACCATGTTACCAAAAAAAAAAACAATAAATACATATAATCAAATGGGGATAATAAACTTTCCTTTACAGTGGGAAAAGATAAATGTTAAATGATATGACTTTGCTTAGATGCATTTAACAAATGAAATTTCGTATGTTTACTTTTTATGATCCTTAAAGTTGATGGCATTCTGGTTAGGCTATGTACTTAAGTAAGGAATTAGGAGTTAAAGGATTATGTAAATAATCCTCAGGAAATTCACTGAAGGGGTCCAGTGCAGGGGAAATTCTAAAGATAGAAGCTGATCCTCTGGAAGAAAGATTCATTAATCCATTCAAAAAATATTTATTGATTGTCTGCCAGCCAGTGGAGATAATACTTATGGACAAGGCAGATGGAGTCCCTGTTCTTTTGGCACTTACATTGTAATGGGAAACACAAAGTGGTATTGGAAAAATACAAAGAAATGTAAGAAGATACACAGTTTGAGGGATGTGGAGTGGTCAAGGGAAGGCATCTCTAAAGAGCTGATGCTTGCACAGAGCTCTGAATGAAATGAGAAATCAAGTTGTGGAAAGTCTCTGAGAAGACTGTGCCAGGCTCAGGAGCACAGCAGGTCTAAAGGCCTGATGCGGAGACAGTCTTGCCAGGTTGGAGGTACAGGCAGAAGGTGCTTATGACCAAAACAGAGTGATGTGGAGAGTGGTAGGAAGTGAGGTCAGAAACACAGCCCCGGATACTTCCAGCACTCATAGGCCGTGGTAAGGAATTTAAATTTTTCTGAGTGTAATGGAAAGCCATTGAGGAATCTTGGGAGGTAAATAATCCTTAAAAAAGATGACTCTGGATGCTGTGCGAAGCTTTGATGGTAGGTAGACAAGAGTGGAAATAGGATGAACAATTAGAGTGCTATTGCAACGATCTCGGCAAGAAATAATGGTGTCTTGGACTAGGTAGTAGTGATAGACATGGTGAGATGATTGATACATGGTATTTGTTACAACGGTGGTCAACAGGATTAGCTGATCAATTGTATGTGACCTGTGGAAGTAATACTCTAGGATTTTGGCTTGAACAGCTAGAACTGTAGTGTCTTTTCTTGAGGTGGGGAAGTCTAAATGAAGAGAAGATTTGGACACATAGGTGATCAGGACAGGCATGTTTGAACGGCCCTTCCTCCTAAGGAGCTTGCCTTCAAGGTTCCCTAAGAGCTGGTGTGCCTGTGGATTCTATAATGAGGAGGGGTTTGTTTGTTAAAAGATCTTTTCAGCTTTATTGCTTAACTCAAAGGCGACAAAGGGATTGGGGGCAAGAAGAGAATTATTCTCCTTTGCTTTCCCAAATTGACAAAATTTAAGCTTTGTCTACAGCTGCCCTAAACAGCAGCCAAGACAGTTTTAAGAATGGGAAGACAGAACTTCTAGTCCTGCAGTGGCCCCTAACCTGCTAGATGACCAAGGCAAACTTTCCCTCTCTCTGGGCTAGAGTCCCACATCTGTTCAGTGAGAAGATGGGAACTATTACCTGTGTCTCAGATTCCTCATCTGTGCAGTGGGCATCACAATAAATATCTGACTCTACTCTCCTCGCTGTTAGAAAGATCAGCATGGAATAATGTAAACTAGAGCTGAGAAATGAAGACTTAATTCTGACAGGGGACATGTTAGAATGATGAAGCAGCTGCAAGTTCTTATTGGCTTTGAGATTTCCTTGGTGATGGCCATTAACTTCTTTGTACAATGCATTTATTTTACTTAAAAACATTGAGATCAGCATTGGCTGCACATTTTTCTCCAACTGTCTTAACACTGTTTGGATCCATTTGCAGAGTAAACAGAGTTGTGTTTAACCAGAATTGAGGTTTTGCCGGGTGAATATGGCTGAGGGGAAGTGTTCAAGGGAACTGAACACGAAATGTTTTTGTTATAGTAAAGGGCTCTGGAGAATAACATGGCTAGGAGGAAAATGATGATATGGAAAGTATGATGGGCAATAAATAAGTGGTAGGATCAGTGGACTGAAGGGTTGAGTAATGGTTGGCCTGGTGACACTGGAATGAATGAGCTGGAAGGTCAGCAGCTTGTGGTCAGAGAGGGGTTGACTGAGATTTTTGGAAAGAAAGATCTAGGGCTGTGCTGTCTGATGCTGTAGCCACTGTCTTCATGTGGCTATTTTAAACTTAAGGTAAAATTAAATTAAATTTTAAATTCAGTTTCTCAGTCATACTAGCCACATTTCAAGTGCTCAGTACACATCTGTGGCTGTGGCCACCGTATTGGACAGTGCAGGGGAGCATTTCTGACATTGTAGGAGTACCCAGGAACTTCTTAGAAATTCAGGATTTAAGGCCCACTCTGGATCTACTGAAGTGGAATCTGTATTTTAAGAAGGCACCCAGGTGATCTGAACGCATATTGAAACTTGATACATACTGAGATGGAGACAGTTTTAATATGAAGGAATTAAGAACATATTCATGATTTATTTTATGTGAATATCCATACTGTTTCACTCTGACCAAAGATTGCTTTGTATTTCAGAATTTGAATGCACTGTTACTAAATTGGCTTTGTGGGATTGGTGTAATGGAATGAGACAGGGTATTTCTATTTTAAACACTATTTTTTTGATCGAGCACACCAAAATAGAGGTACTGAGTTCATAATTTAATAAACATATTTCATTTCTTTAATGTTAAATTTTATTTGAATTATTATTCCCTAGTGTTTTAGTCATCAGTAATGCACCTAAACTTCTCAAAGAATGGATAACAAAGTTCTTAAAATGAATGGATAGGAAAAAAAATCTACTTATAGCAAGGTTTCAAATATTGTAATTGCCTTGGCAAAGAAAGATTCTTTTTTTAAATGTAGTTTCAGAAAAGAAAAGGTACTTTTTAACATCGTAAGTTAATATAATTTTAAATTTTATTGTAATATATTAAAGTAGGCTATGTTCAGAAAATATTTAATGTATTTACTATTCTCTTATTCATTTTGTCATTCTTAACTTATGCTTTAGGGGATGGATAAGAATGCTTTTGAGAAAAAATATAATACCATTGGACTGAATATTTTTCAAACTCACCAGTTGTTCTGTCAAGATGTACTTAAATTGCTTCCTGGAGAAATAGGTGTTGTCAACAATGGGAGAGTAAGTAGAAAAAGCAATTACTCACTCTTCTCAGTGGCACTGTGGCACAGGGGTCTCGAATGGTTTTCTGTCACAAGACAGCTGATGAAACACAAACAAAGGACATGCTTATATGCTAGACACACCAGACAGGTCTCAGCGTAAGTAAGAAGGCCCCTGAGATGTCCAGCTTGTGGCGCACGGCCTGTCTCTTTACCCCTTCCCCGACTGACGATAGCATCAAGTGCGGCCAAGGATGTTCCTGTGGGGATGGCTTTTATTTTGTCTTACTACAAGTATTAGAATAAAGACTTCCGTATGCACCTCAACATTGTAATTGACAACCACTGTGGTAGTAGGTGTAGAAAGTACATTCTGGTATCTTTTTCTTCTTGTAACTTTTTTCTGCAATTGCTATTGATTATGTTCACTAACAATACTTTTGTAAGTTTTGAAGTATAAAGTAGTATTTAATATAATCTTTTTAAATCTACAGGAAAAATTACTCTTACTCCCACCATCCTAATAAACTTTATTAATAGTTTATTGTTTTACCTTCTAACTCTCTTTTCTACCTTACATAACCATTTCTTTTTTTTAAATACGTAATTATAATGCTCTTTTATATATGTATAATTTTATATCACTTTTTTCTGAATATATCACAAACATTTTTCTATTTAATTGAGGGGTTTAATAGATACATACAAAATTAATAGATGATAGCTACTTACCAATATTTTTAGTATGATGGTCTGGTTTTCTTTTTCAGGAGTGATTTAAGTTTTAAAAAATTGAATCTGGTGTTTAGGTATATCAAGAAATCAACTAATGCAGTGTGTTTGACATATCTCTGCTTGAACCATCAAATTATATATCCCTAAATAATCTTCAAAGCTCTAATATTGTCTTTGTCTTCTACATTTTTATGAGCTCTGTTCACCTGCATCTTTCATTCCCATATCATCATTCCCTTAAAATTATGCCTATTTATTTCTTGCCTGAATGCATAAATAAAAGGAATTGGGGAATAGTGAGAGATTTACATCCCCAAGCATCCATAAATCAAATATTTCTGCTTCAGTATAGCAGTTCTTGAGCTAATTGTGTTAGCTCCTAACCATAGGTAGACTAAGGTTCCTCGGTGTACAGTGCTATTTTAAAATCGATGACAAGAGTTACCATTTATTATTACAATAACATAAAGTATCACTGAATTTTGTTAGTGAGCTATGTGAAAGCCCCAAAATGCCATTGCTTTTTCTCTATAACAGTTGTGAAAAATTATGGCTTTCTAAAACAGGTTTAAAGTACATGACTACTTTGCCTCTGTCGGGCTAGTACTTGCCCTTTGGTGTTATACATTAGGGAAAAGCGACCTTATGTTTTCTTTGTCGTTGTTTGATATAATTCAGATATTATTATCAATATTAGCAGTAAGAAATATTATACTTATGTTCAACTTACTTCTCTTAGAGCTACATTTTCTTCTTATTTTCTTTGAAATTAACAAAACATTTTGATATAATTTTGCATCTGCCATGAACCAAACATTCTTCTAGATTTTCAGAGTAGAGTAGTGAACAATCATGTTTTCATTGAGTTTACGTTTTGGTGGGCAGAGGCTCAAAGCAGATAACGGCCTTACTGATCAGGTGTTACTTGGACAGAGAACAAAAAGCGGTGAAAGAGCAAACCCTGTTGCATATCTAGAAGAGGAACATTCCAGGGAGAGTGGGCAGTGAGTACAACACCGGAGATGAGACCACAGCTGAGTGCTCTAGACACAGTCGGTCTGAAGAGAACAGCCAGGAGAGAAGTGGCTCGGGGCAGGTCGTGCGGGGGGTTCCTCTGAATGAGTTGCGAAGCTCATTGTTCTGGGCAGGGGACTGACATGATCTGGCTTGTGTTTTATTTGGCTCACTAGTGGCTGTTACATTGAGAACAGACTGTAGGGGTCAGGACACCAGTTAGGAGAGGGGGTAGCAGTCCAAGTGCAAGGTGATGGTGGCTTGGACCAGGATGGCTCCAGTGGGAGGAGGGAGACGTGGTGGCGGGATATATTTTGGAGGAAGGGTAAACAGGAATCGCCGGCCCACTTGCTGTGGGGTGTGAGAGAGCTACGTAACTGGCAGAATGGAGTTGCCGTTGCTTTAAAGAAAGGAAGACTGTGGCAGGCTGGGGTTGTTCAGGAGGGCTGGAAAGGGGAAGACAGAGAAGCTGTAGCAGATCGTTATAATTCTGAGCCAGATAGTTTAACGCCTGAAATAATCCTGACACTTTAGACTCAGTCTCCATTCCGAACCTGTCCAAATGTTTGTTAGAATTGAAATGTATTCAAAGCTAAAATTGTTTAAAAAGGATCAAAACTGAGGTGCAATGATGATCTCATACTTTGTTACTGACATACCAAAAAATTAAAAATCTGTTTTTTTAATATCAAACAAAACCCTAAATAATGCTATTGCTATAATTATATTTATTTTTATTATACTACATATTTACAAATTGCTGAAAGACATGGTATAGCAGAGAGTAAAAAACAGGCAAGGACTTTCCTTTTTAGCCAGATAGATCTGGATTCGAATTCTAGTTGCACCGTTAATTATATGACCTTTGTGAGACTTCTTCATTTGGACAATGGAAAAGGTCTGTTTTACAAAGTTGTCAGTTAAATTTACTGTTACATGTAAAACACACAGAACAGCCCAGACACAGAGTAAATTTTCAGTAAATATTACCTTCTGTTTTCTCTTTAAATATTAGAAGGCTATCATGGGGAATATTGGGTACATTTCTAGACTTAATTTGTGTTACATTCACTGAGAGTCAGTATAGATTCGAGGCCAACTGATCAAACTTCCATGAGTAGAGAGAAATTTTTATCTCAGTATATGGATGAGCATTCTAACAGAGTTTTCTAAAATTTTAATGATCTGTCAGAGGAGGTAGTGCATTTCTGTTATTCTGTGTAACTGAAAAATCACATTTCCAAAATGTTGTAAAGATTTAAGTTCCAAATGGGTTTTATTGTAATTACATGATTTTCAGATTTAACTTTCCACTTCCCAACTTGGCCATTATATGATTTTATACTATTTTAAGTTACTTTATTCCACAAACATTATATTCAAATGTAAGTAGAACTAAGACACAAGAACCAAGTTTCTCCTAGCTGTTTGACACTGAACTTACATAGGTTCTCTAGTGAATTTAATTAGTAAATATACCCAATCCTGTTAATCCTTTAGAAAGATAATTTGAGATTTCATTTCCTTATTCTGAGTTATTAACAAAACTGCTTGAGTCACTAGAAGTGGTGTAGATTAAATTCAGCTATTTTCCAGGCCTCTCCTATTCATAGTCTTAAAAAATATAACATTGACAGTGCTTTAAAAGTTACTGTAAAAGTGATAGCAAGTCTTAAGGAAATGAAATGCTTATATGTGTACTTACAGTTGTATAGTGCCCTTTTTTGTACTTTTAAGAACCCAGGTTTTATGTTTAAAGTGAACATGATACTTGTTTAGGTGGAGGCCAGTATTCCAGCTAATACCACCTTTGATATGAACAAATGAGAAAAGAACTACACTTCATTGATTTTTAGAAAATATTAACTGCAGAAGCATATGAAGGGGAAGTAAAAGAATCCACTGCAGCTATTTCATTCTGGTCTTTTTTCAAGGAAAAAAAGTATTCTGGTTGACACGTTTTCTAATTGATTTTTATTAAGTATAATTGTTGGTGCTTAAGACTCTGTCAGGCTCACCTTCTACATCAGAGCTTATGTTCGTAATACTATGATGATGCATGTATTAGCTTCCTTGGAAAATGATAATGGTAGTAGAGTTGGCGATGGTTGTGATGGGATAGCTATTCTGAGAAATTAGGTATATGGCAATTTTACAGAGTCCCCCTCTATAGTTACTGGTTTAAAGCTAACCTACACAATCTTGCTGTGCTCCAAACAATTTAGTCAGCATCAGTTAGATGAAGGTTGGTTGGTATTATTAAGTAATTATGGGATTTGTCTCTTGGGTTATTTTGCTCTTTTATGCCTTATTTATGTATTAATTCATATCTATATACTGTAGGCTACACTTTACAGATGAATAGGAAAAAATCGAAAAGATTTGTGAAATATAGACAGCTGATTTCATAATTTACTTTAGAATGAAAAGCCTTAGGTTTTTGGAAACATTGTGTTTCAAAGTAAAACTTTCAAATGAAAATAACTTGCTGCTTTTTAATTTTGCCACTCTGATTTTTGTGTTAATGCAAATGTTGTTTGTAATACCAAAGTGAGGAAATACTTCTCCCTTTTTTTTCCCCCAGTGGATTTAGTAAATGGTGGGATTAATAGCCACTATCTGTTTTACTTAAAGAAATATCTATATGATAAAAAATATTTATCCCAAATTGGTATTCTATAGAAGATATAAAATAATATAACTGCTTTTATCTTAAGTTCTTAGGACCTTTAGATGAAAATTTCTATGCAGAAGATTTTTACTTGTTGGAAAAGATAACACTCACTAGTTTAGGAGAGGAAATTGAAGACTTTGCTCAAAGTACAAAAACTATGGACTTAAAGGTGTAAGTATGTAAGAGCAATTCATTTCGGAGTTTGGTGTTTTGCATCTGATTTTTGTCTTTTTAAGTTTAGAAGGTGTTTTAAATACATACACAGCTATAATGAAAGACATGTACAGAATGTAAAAAAATAATAATAAAAGATATCCATTTGCTCACCACCATCAAACTGTTGATGTTAACGTTTTGTTTTATTTGCCTTGGATATGACTGTTTCTTACCCACCAGTCCTGTTCTCCTCCCTCCCCAGGAGGGAATCATTTTCCCAAATGTTGTGTGCATAATTCCCATATTTGTGTTTATACTTTTATCACGTGTAAGTGTCCATTATTAGTGTTTGTTGTGTTAAAGCCTTGACTTCTTTAGAGAGATGCTGTTACACATAGGCTCCTTTTGCAGTCTACCTCCATAGGAGCTTTATCCATGTTCATGTATATAGAGTGAGCTTACTCATTTCAATTTCTTTTTAGTATTTCATTTTATGAATATACTGCAGTTTACTTGTATACTCCATTACTGAAGTGCAGTTAACTTTGGCTTTAGTTTTTTACTGTTACATAAATGCTATAGTGGACCTGGCGAATGTGGCTCCTTGTGCAGTGTGTGCGCAGAGGAGTGTTGTTACTGGGTTGTAGGGTAGGCATTCCTTCAGCTTTAACAGAGATTGATAAATTCTGTCCTTCAAAGGAGTTGCAACAATTAGCACTCCCACCAGAATTGTGTAAGAGTTCTTGTTTCCCCGAGTCTTCACCAGTTCTTGGTGTTACCCAACCTGTTAATTTTTCCTGTCTGATGGATGTGGAATTACATCTTGTTTTAAATTGCACTTCCTTGACTTCAGGGAAAGTTGAGTATCTTCTCATATGATTATTTTCATTCATGTTTGTTCTTCTGTAAAATAATCTGTTCATACTTTTTGTTTGGGTTTTCTTTTAGTGATTTGTAAACATACTTTCTATGATTCTGTTTACTTTATCAGTTATATATGCTAAAATATAATATTCCAACTAGTGGCTTGGCTGCTTACTTTTTAATTGTAATTTTTACCACATACATAGAAGTTTTTTATTTTAGTATCCAAATATTATCAGGGGTTTTCCTTCATAGTTTGTGATCTGTGTGTGTAAGTGAGAGAGAGTGTGTGTGTGTGTGTATGTTTAGGATGTATAAGAATTTTCCTTGGTCTGAGTGCATAAAGATTTTCTACTTTATTTTCTTTTTAAAGTTTTACAGTTTTTTTTTCAAGGAAACATTCCTTAAAGTTCAACCAACATTTTCTGTCCCAACATATCATTCAACATATACATGTTCTCTGTCAT